AGGAATGCATCATGTAATCAGGCAACTCCCTGGAAGCCAGGGCTTTCCTGAAAACCAGAAAAGTAGAAATAGAGAAATTGAAGGGCTCATTGAATTTTAGATCTCCTTAGATACAAACATAGCTGTACATTCTAAACTGTTATCCCACCACTAGGACAAACCAGTTATCTAGACAGGACAATCCACCACATCAGACTTGCAAAGAGGGTGGTATAAGAATGACAAAAGATGCATACTTAACCTTTCAAGACAACTACTTTAATGCTGACAGGAGCGCTGCTTTTAGTCTTTATTGGGCTCAAAATTCAAATAAAAATTTAAATGAAAGCTGGGATTCTACAAAAAGCCCCAAGCAGCTGCAAGAACACCCAAAAGGCTCTGAATCCTGCCCTACAAGCTGGACTGTACTGTATCACCACCACTTCTATTGTAAACATGTGGACATATTCATGTATTATCATTTTACTGGAGTGCTGTAGAATAACTGGGGGGCTCAGAGGTGGCTTGCTTGACCTACTTGGATAGTTTTGGTGATTTTCATGGCTGGATTTACTGTCCCCATAGTTGGGCTTATAGCAGCTGGAGCACTCCTTTTTAAGCTGATCTTCTCTCTGGCATCCACCACTTTGGTCACCTTTTCAGGAGCAACACTTTGCTGCTTACGGGAATTCAACATTTCTCGAGCATCCTGCACCTTCCCTTTGATTTTGAACCGAGCGTCTTTTTGAACCAGTTTTTCACGGGCATCTTTAACCCCCAGTTTGTGTCGGGCATCAGTGAGTCCTATCTTCTGTCGGGCATCAAATGTCCGCTGGAAGCTGACAGCTGGCGATGATCTATTTAGAAGATTTTGCTGGATGCCAATGCGAGATCTTACACCTCCAAACACTGGCCTGGTGTTAAGCCTGAGGGGAGGGAAAAAAAAAGTTTCAGACATTATAGGATGCGATACAGTATCAATAAAAGTATTTGTGTTGCTGCAAACAAAAGGTCATTATTACTGCACAGAAATCCACTCAGGTTAGATGTCCAAATACAACAGTAGAGCTCCTAAGCTGTTTTATGCTGGATTTTACTTTCTACATAAACAGCTAAGGAACTGATTTCCAAAATCCATCCTTAAGCTCACATTTACAGCCTTCAGTGAAGAGTCTGACTTCAGCTATGCTAAGTACATGCTATACTTAAACAAAATTCATCAACAACTTGGGTACTTTGGGGAAATCTTTGAAGACAAAGAGGTACAGAAACAGACTTTCTAGCTCTAGGACTGAGCAGGTCTGCTAAAGCATCTTTTGTAATACAATAATATGTCCTGATACAAAGGAAACATGGAACTACACGTGATTTCAAGAATTCTGGGCAGCAAGTTCAGATTTGTTGGAGTGTAGAGGCTTGGATTTTAGCATGTACAAGCACCACCAGTACCAATCTCAGTTCAAAGCCACCAGTTTCAAAGCTGATTAACTGCCAGCAAGAATACTGATCAGTCAAATTACTTTTTAACACCACTGCCTCTTCTTTAATCTACTAACAGGACTGCTGCACTTGATGGCCTTTACTTTTTAAGCACATCATCATGACCACAATACTGAGCACTGAAAGGTAACAGCCCACAGAAAGGACAGCATTTGTACACAAGTATTACAAAGAAGCAGCCCATTATGCAGTGAAAGCTGAAACTAGCTTCTTGTTACAGGTCTGATTCACTTTTTCAAGATCTCCCCTAAGAGGAAACAGCTTGTCTAATTTTTTAATACAGTTCCTCCTTTAAGTATTTTTTAAGGTTTTCTTTGTTTGCATTGGGTTTCCCTCTTTTTTTTAAAGAGATGGCAAAGCGGTAAGAGAAATTTTAAAGTTAAGATACTCAAAAAATACTCTTGCTGTTGGCTTTTTAAAATAAGCTACGCAGGGCTACAGTATTCATCTGCTTTCTGAAATGTGTTGTGCAGTATTACAAAGTCTAAAAGTATATATCTAGAATTTGTTGTAATACTCAAAAAACTACCATCACAATTTCAGATGATGATGCACTTTGAATCCTTCATACAGCATTATATCAGTATTTCCTGATCTAACCCTATAATCTTAACATTATTTAGTCACATATTTTCAGTGGAGAGATCTGTAAAAAGAGATATAAGACAGAACCTCCACTTCTGTCTCTTTCATTCTTGTGTCCAGACAACTAGAAAGCTAGGACTAGGGTCCCATTTTGTTACCTAGCTAAGAATTCTATGGGTGCTCTCTCATACAGCCAAAGAACACTAGCTAGAAGAAACAGGAGTATTATTAAACCATTTATTAAAATATATCCTGAATAATACAGAAGACTAACAGTACCCATAAAGCAACAGCCACAGAACAAGACTTCCCTTGCAATTTGAAAAAGCATTAATTCAGCTATGTTGAAAGCATTCAGTTAGAGTGCTGCAGAAGGGCTTGATGAGTGGTTCTTTTTAATGAGCATAACAGAGGTCAAAGTAAAACCAGAAATATATCTATCAGCATTTAAGCCAGAAGTAGTTAAAACAGTTAATGACATGAACTAATGAAACTGGTTAGGAAACTCCGTACTGAAGATTATACCGTCTCTGAAGACTTGTTTTTATCCTAATAAGCAACTCTCTTCCATAGAGAAATGCTTACCCTATAACAACATTAATTGTTTAAGCATTTTGTGCCACACCACTTGAAATAAAAGGTAATCTCAAACATCTAATTCACTTTGCAGAACTCCAAGTTCTGGCTTGAATATTTGGTGGATTAGTACATTTTATAGGTGAAGATTTTTCTGTTCTTTCATCTAGACTACTGAACAGCATAGATATAATGATTTAAGTTTATTCAGTTTATCCAGCCTTCACAAAGTCAAGTTAGCTACCTCAGAAATCTTATAAAGTGAGCTAAACATAACAAACAAGAGAAATGCAAGGCACAAGAACTCTTACAGTGCTGCAGAGGGATTATTGTTCAGCAAATAAAAGCAGGAAGAATTCCTGGAAGAAATGAGAGTTAAGGAGGGATTTGAAAAAGGAGAAAAGAGGTGCTTGGCACATTAAGCAGCATAAGACTGTTCCAGATACACAGGATAATGTGAATGAAAGTGCAAAGCCAAGGCCTCGTCTAGACTAGGATTTAAATATGCATTTGAATGTTTTGCTAGCATATGCTAGCAGATAACTTTCAAAATATTACTCTAGACATATAAGTGTAGACATTCAGAGTTAAAACATAAAATTCCTCAATGACCATTGTATTAAAAAAAACCCCTAACAAAACAACAAAAAAAAGGAGCACACTTAGCTAACACAGATGGGGAGAAATCCATGGACAAGCTCTTCAGAAGCATCAAGAGACTATGGCAAAAGGGAAGATGAAAAGCTACCAAAGCAGAAGCCAAATAAGAGCTGCCAAGAGCTCCACTAGAGTAAATGGCCCAGCCTACACCGGAGACATCTGCCATACAAAGAAAGAATCCAATCTTGTAGCTAATAGGTAACACGCTCCACATCCACAGAAGCATTTCAAACAATGTCAGGCTATCATTAACTATCCTACAGCGACTACAGTTTCCAAGGGCCAGGCAGCAATTTTGATGAAGCCATTGCAGCCTGAAGCCTCGCCCGTGCGGATGCCGATCAGCTTTGCTACAGTTACGGCTCCCTGTGGCACAACTACACCTCCCACGGCCATCCCACAATGCACCGTGCCGCTCATCAAGGCACCGCTCCTGGGAGCTGCGGGGGGACCGGGCACCCCCCGGGCACTGCCCGACCAAGAGCTGCAGATACGGGGCAGCCCGGATGCTGAGGGTGCTCGGCGGTGGGGGGCGCCGAGGCCCTGCTGATCCCGGCTTGGGGAGCACCACTGGGTTAAGGGGCGGGGAGAAGCAGGAGGTAGCGGGGAAAGCGCAGGTCGGAGGCACTTAGTGAAGCGATGGGCTGTGCCAGGAATCTCGGGAGAAACGAGGAGGGCCGGGGAAGGGAGAGGCGGTGTGTGCGCCTGCCCTACCAGGGCTAAAGCCCGCGGGGCAGCACCAGGCACGGGGGGGGACGAGTGGGGGGACAGACCCCCGCCCCGGC